TTGGGAAGGTTTGGGAAGGGAAGCGAAGGGAAGGGAAGGGAAAGGACAATAGATAGATAGGTCAGGTGTATAGCACAAGCTCTGTGGTCTAGATTTTCAAGATTATTTTTTTTGTCTTTATCTATAATGATGAACTACAGAGTTTGGATCCTGGTCTGACTGTCAAAGGAAAGAGAGAGCATTTTGATAAAATTCTGCTTGAAATATATCTTTATCTCTTTCTAATGCATTTTAACGCACCTTGAACTTACTCAGATGGCTAATTAACATTTGCCAGGGAAAGCGATTAAGGGCTATTGGCTACCTTTTATTTCTGCAGGCATAGAAATGAGTGGAATGTAAAGGAAGAGAAATAATTAAACAATATATTCACTCTCCTTCAGAGCCTTTCACTGGATATTGGAGTGTTCTCAATTTCTGTAGTCAAAATGAGAGTAACAAAGATATCTGACCCACACCAGATTTTCTGCTACAAAAAATCTTGAATTATAGCTTTTACTACTTACTTCCATCCCTTGCTATGACGGTACCGTTTGATGCGCAGATCAGTGTAAGGACATCAGTGTATCATTGAGTTTCAACAAATGTATCATTCTGGAGTGTCCATCAGCCCAAAATAATGCTGTTGGGATCCATCTATTGCAGAAGCTGCATGATAGTATATAAAAGTGTTTAGGACTTTGGGATATTTATTTTCTAAAGAAAACGAGGGAGGATATTTTTTTGTTTTGTTTTGTTTTAAATTAAAAAGAACTTACTCCCATAATTTACTTCTAAATATCCATGTAGTAGCATCCAAATAGTAACAAATGGCAAACTGTAGCTGGAAGAGACTGCCATATCTTCTCTCTGTTCCATAAGAAGCAGAAAACTAACTTAGAGTACCTCTGTAAAACACTTAAAGTAAGTAATAATAACGTTTTGTCACTAAGATTGTTTTTTATTGTAGCCTGCACCACTGAAAATGCAGACATAAATCTTTTATAATGTTTATCCAAGTGACTCAGTTAAATATTCTTAAGCTCCTTAAACAGTAAATACTTTAAAAATTGTCCATGGAGACTACTTCAAAGAGCAAGTTCCCAAAGTCCTCCTACACAGGGCAACAGGAGGAGAAAACACTCTGCTCAGCATTAGAAATACTCTTGCATGGAGTGTTTCTCTCTCATATTTCAGGAACAATGCCAAATTGCCCTTTGAACACTCAAATTTATGAGCAACTCTTTCATGTTGCTTGAATAAGAGCAGACTTTAACGTATTTGATTCTTGGCTTCACAACGTTAGGCATTAGCAGCTAACCTGAAATTAAATTAATTAACAAACAAGTCTTTCGGGTACAGAGTTCATCCTTCAATGAACCTCATCCTCAAAGTTTTACTCCCTTCAAAGATAGCTTAGCAACATTCCTAGGATTACAGCTAGATATCAGGCTCTTTCCTGCATGTATAAATACAGGTTGTTATCTATATTTTCTTATACAGCAAAAGTGATGCCTTGTTAGACACTGACATCAGTGAAGACAAGATATTTCCTTATCCAAACTCATTGAATTTTTAGAGGCCTGGGAATTGCTTTCTAGCCTGGGTGATGGAACTTTTCTTTTTTAGGTTTTAGAAAATATGTGTGATTCTCAATTAATTATTCAATGATAGGAAAAAGCATATAAGGTTTTTTACAGATAAGTTTAGGAAAAGTTTTCTTCTTTTTTTTTCCCCTTTTCTTATCAATAGCTCCCAGGTTACACTAATTAATTGCTATTAAAATCTTCCATAATCTTTTAATATCTTCTACAGAGCCAGTATTTCTCCTTTTATTGAAAGGACTTAAAGTTTTGTCTTTATTGAGCTGCAGGACCTGGGAGGGGAGATGTTTATATGTGCTTTTTGAGACTTTTTGGGGATGTGGTGTTACATAAGCTGAATCTGTCACATGATGTGAAGAGTCTTGCAATTTCCACATACACACTTTTGATTAAGCAATATCCTTTATAAAAAACTAATTATGGTTTCTCTTTCTTTGTTTTTGTGGCAAGCATAAGCCCAGTACAAGAAAAATCAATTTAAAAACTTCATCCTTCCTTAAAGGAATCCATTTCTCTGCCATCCAGGGGAAACCTATAAACTAGGACAAAATGGCATCATAAAATTAATTAAATTAATGGTTTGAAAGAGATTTCTGTACTAAAAATCTTCATACCATGTATTTCAGTGGTTTATGTGGTCCATGGGAGCATGTGAGGGTAAAATGTTCAACTCAGTATAAAAGGGGAAAACAAAGGGCAACTCCAAAAACAAAACAAAACAAAAAAAAGAGAGTTGGAATTGTCTGGTTCTTTTTGTACTACAACATGGTTAATTTTTGCAGAATTGTGTGTCTAAAAGATGAAGAGATAAAGTTTGATGGCTATTTCCATATTCCTGACTGCACATGACTGCACACTGAGAAATCATTATCCCTCTGGCTTTTTGTTGCAGTTTTTTTTCTTTTTTAAAGGAAAAGAAAAAAATGTTTAACAGGAAAAACACAAAAGGAAAGTTGGATTTTGGATGTAAAGAAAACAAGGGGAATTCATAGTTTATGTTTGAACCCAGTCTCAGTTTGAAGAGACTGGAATGTTTGCTAAAGAGGATGAGTTATGAGACAGACCAAACTCCTCTCTCTCAGCAATTGTAAATTCAAAATTAAGGCGCTTTAATCAAGGAAGTGTGGAAAAAAAGAAGAAAGAAATAACAACCCTTTATTAAAAGATATATGTATATTGGCAAGAACAGTAACAGACCATAAAAACAACTAAACAATAGTCCTGTACCCAGAAGTCCCCTTCAAACAAAAGAAAAAGTCTGAATACTTCTCTGTCCTTTAGCGCAGTTCCAACCACGGCCAGCAGGGGGCGCTGTTGGATCGCTGGAGGTGCAGAGCCTGCAGTGCTCGGTGTTGGCCTGCAGGGGGCGCTGTCGGGCTCTGGCGGTCACCGCGCAGGAGGGGGTCTGGGGGTGTCTCGGGTCGCGGGAGAAGCTGAAAAGAAAATGGAGACCCTTCCCCCAGTGGAAGAAGGGTAGAAGGAAAAGCAGTCCACCCCCACAGGACTCACTGTTGTTCTCAGATGACGGCACCCCAAAGCTCCTTCTTTTCTCCCAGCGAGCACAGACCTCTCCAATGAAGACACAGCAGACTTGAGCTTGAGACAAAGACAGCTACCCCACCTCCGTCCCAGAGAGAGAACCCAGCAAACTGACCTCTCCCTTCTAAGAAGAGCCGGCAAACCCCCTCCCCAAAAACTCCTCCCCTCTCCCCCCAGCCTCTGATGGGCCATCCATTAGGAATGGCCAGTAAGGTTCTTTTGTAATGCTAATCACCCCCCCTTTCCATTCAAACTCCGTCTCTCCTACAGTGGGGGCAGGGGGAAGAAAAATTCCCCCTCTTGGATTTCTAACCTATAACAATGTTCACTAAGAAGACTAACAGATGATAAGTACTGAATGTCTGACAGAGAAATGTGCAGCTAGTAACTTGCCTCATCTACACCAGTAAGGTGTATCTATATGATGCTCTGTTATTTGACTTTATGACTGATGATGAAGTTTAATAATCGCAGTCCAGAGCAGGTTGCCAGTTTAAAACAATGTATAAGATTTTACCTCTAGCTTCCCTACATTCATATATTTTTCTCAGAAATAAAAACCCCTGAAAAAAACCAAGTAAAAACCTCTTCAGAATGAGAGAACCTAATGAAGAACTACCAGTACAAATTTAATGTAGATAATGTCATGGTGAATGGCCTGTATATCAGAAGTCCTTTCCTCCCTTCCATGATGACTACCAGGATCTAAGCAAAAGCCTGAGTCCTGTTCTCAGACAAACAGCCCAGGCTAAACATATAAACAACTTCATTTCCAGCAATGCCATCTATTTTAGAGCTTGGTACAAAAATAGTGATCTTTATTATTCTTTATTATTATTCTTTAGGAAGAGGGTCACACAAAAAAACAAACCAAAACAAAAAACCTACCAAGCAAAAAAAACTCCCATGAAAATCAACTAAACAAACAAATAAAAAACAAAAACAAAAAGCCCCAAGACCACCAAACAAACAAAAACCTTACCAAACAAATAAAAACAACCCAACAAAACCAACATGAAGCCACCCCAAACAAACAAACAAAACCCCAGAGAAACTTACGTTTTAAATCACTTCTTTACGTAAAAACTTTAATGATTCCGGTTTCCTTGTTAAAGGTAATAGAAAATTTGGTAAATTTTATACTTCACTATTTATTATAGACAGAACTTAGCTAATGAAGATTTTTTACATTCTCTTCTGCGTTTTGTTCAATAAACAAAGCACAAACCCCTTAAGTATTTGTTTACATATTTCTTAAACTGTGTTTAGCATTCTCTCTGTACTATTTGACAGGACATAGCAAAGAACCTTAGAAATCATTCACTGAAAATACATTGATTAAACATATAAGACAGCTAGACAGGGAGAACGATGTTGATACTAATGCATGAATCTGTCACCATTTTCTTCTGTGAAAGGAAAGGTCTCTCAAAGGTTACAGCCAAATTTTCTGCAATAAGCTTCCTTCATATTTCAAAATATCATTCTGATGAGTAGCATCCATGTGCTAGAAATAGCAAAAAATTTTGAGTTTCATCCTAAATTAAACCTAACAAGTTAAGGGTATTTCAAAGAAACAACCAACTGAGCATTAATACCACTTAATTTTGCACTAAATAAAAATATATGTCCTTTTAATGTGTCTTGCCAGATGCTTCTTTCAGTTCAGTATTTGACAATATTTACAAGGTTTCTCCTCTTTCTGCCTTGTTCCAGTCCTCCTAATATTTTTACAATAAGTATCCATGAGAAGGTACTTTTGTGTTTCATTTAATGTCACTTCTGAGAGTCTCTGCTACACTGTTACACTGCAAAGATCTTTGCCTTGTCAGGAATCAATATTATTCCCATTTACTAAAAAAAAAAAAAAAAAGAAAATAGAATAGCCACATAGAGGATCCATTTATTTTACCCTTTTGCCCAGAGCAGGGTGATTTGGGAGCATGGTGCAGCACACTGATGCTTTTGACAACTATGGTGTAATTCTGCACAGAATATCCTGTGGGATATGTCACCTTGGACTGAACTATCAGTGCATCAGGAGCATGAGTGTTTGCCTCTGTTCGGATGTGGGATGTCTTCCTACTTCGAATTGCAGCATTTCCAGACCTCCTGAGGGGTCAGATGATGATGCAGCATTACTACACTTTTCACCCATGTATCCAATCATGACAGTTTGCCAGGAATTTGGAAGGAGCAGCCCGTTAAGGAGCTTTGTGGAAGAAGTTCTTGGAGTACCAGGGCAGGCAGAAGGGAGAGGGAGAGTCACAGTCACTCCGTTTTTAACACAGCTCAAACACTTCCAGTCTGGGGACCTGGTAAAAGCAAAGCAAGTGAATCAGCTGAGAAGTAGCTCTAGAAAGATATTACAGTGTATTTCAAGACTAAAACAAAAAAAGAGTGAACTGGAAGAGAACCAAGAATTATTTAAGATTGTCCTTGAGGGTACGTCTGTAATCAAGTTAATAACAGAGGAAATTGTAGGATGTGGCTCTGGAAATGTAACAGGGAAAGTCTGGGATACAAAGCTAAGTTCCCAGCCCCCAACTACTGTAAAATGTCTATAAGGAGAGAATTCTGCGTTTAAAACCAAAAAGCCCAATCCCAAATACCCAACAAACAGCTAGTTAGGTACCCTAAAAAATATATGGCATTAACTTATTACCACCATCTAAAAGATTTCAATTTAAGAGACAGTTTTGTTAAATGATACAACTGGGAGACTGTAGGGTGGCATGTGTCTTTATGTAATAAAGAGTATATAAGCTCTCCATGAGGTGGTAAAACAAAGAGGTTTATTTCAAATTTGGTGCTGCTTTTATCCCTTAAAACCACGCGCCTTCCTTGACCAATAGGGTTGTCTATATCGGCGCATGCTCCCTCAGACACTCTCGCCCTGGTACATTTCCCCGTACCTTAGACACGCTCTCTACATCACCTACCTCTTAATTATTTAAGGAGGTCACAAAAACAGTGCAAAAACAACAGCGCAAATAATCAGAACAGTACATTGTAAACCACCAAAGCTCGCAATGACCCAGCACATCGCTTGCTTTGGCCTCTTATACTTCTATTGTAAACCTTTTAAAACATTCTTATATTCCTAAAGGGTAGCGCAACATCGAGAAATAACTTTATTAACCTAGGGGCCTTAGCCCAACCATGTATAAACTTATAACCTTTATTAATCTGAGGGTTTTTAAATAACTGGGGAGTTCAACTTTATTTAAGAAACAGGCTAAGCTTAGCAAAACTAAATTCTCTTAAAGTGACCTTGTGGTAGAGGTAATGTTATTTTGTGAGATGTTTTGTGTCTTAATATTTGTCCAGTTCAAACAACTCTCTTATTCATTCACTCTTCTCATTCACCAGCGGCCGTCTTTCACTCACACTCACACATGCACAGATACTTTGCAGACTGCTTTTCACCACATTGGTTGTCCCTTAATGTAAACCTGAAACATAAACATAACTCTTTTATAACTTCTGCATTACTCTGGTTCTTGTTGCTGTGATTGTGTACCTAAATAGGGTTTTACACACCTGGAAGGAATCCACTTCAGTTCTTTTCCTGTAGCCACCCAGGCATAGCTTCTCCCCCAAGTCACAAGATCTAGGGGTCCCATCCACTGTCCTGAAATCAAATCTTTAACCATGACTGGTGGTTTGGGAGAGGCTGACGCCTGAGGTCTATGTTGCCTTTCACACTTACTTCTTTCAGCACTGTTACAATTTAAAAAATTGATAACATATGTGGCTTTCCACAGACGCTCTTGTGGGCTATACAGGTTCCCCCCTTTTTTCTGTCTAGCTAACATTTCTTTCAGTGTGCAGTGTGCTCTTTCTACAATTATTGTTAAAGGCAGAGTGTACAAAAGGACAAACAATTCTTGTGTAGAGACTGGGAGTTCATGATGTATTGGAATGCAGTAGAACTGAATATATCAAGTTAAAGTTGTAGGAAGCATATATTTGATGTTGAAAGCTCAGTGTATCACAAAATGCCCTTCCTTCTTCAGAATAATTCAGGTTTTTTAACAATTTTTCTTAATCTTGTTATACTATAAACTTATTTCCTGTATATAATCCTTTCATGGAAAAAGGGAAGATATTCACCACACAAAATAAAGGAGAATAAATATGAACCAATGAGCATTGTTTTACAAGGATAAAACAGATTTTAAAAAAATAAGAGATAAGATTTCATTATGCTGTGTGGGTTTATAGCCAACGTGGAAGAATGTCTTTTGCTTTTATTTATGTATTGTATGTCTGCCAGAAACATCCTCAACTTTGTCCAGTGAAAACAGGCTATGATTTTCCACATTGTTTGCATTTGGTTTTAATTTGACTGAGTGCTCTGCACACATATGTGTTAGGATCATTTGTGTGTGGATTAAGAGATTACAAGATACAGGCATGTTAAGGGAGGTTATCAGACAATTATCAATCAATCAATCAATCAATCAGCCTTTCAAAGAACAACAGAGATAAAAGGCTGGCAAATTACAGGTGTTGGTAAACACATATCCTCTATTCAACACATTTATTAGCTTTCTGCCTTTAAAAATTACTTAAGTAAAATCAGGTTTTTGCTCTTCATTATTCCAGCTAACTTCCATGGTGTTGAATGAAAATTAATTGCCTGTGCTTAAATTTCAAGGAAGTATTTTGACCTTTTTTTACTGGAATATCCATCTCTTATTTTGAGTTTTGGCTTGCTTGATTATTTGTAATAACAGGTGTCTCTTTCTTGCAATCAAATGAAACAGCATTTTTAAGGTTCAGTGCTTGGAAAAAAAAAGGATGAAAGATGTTGTAAATGCCCTTACAGTTTAGGCGAAAAAACCCAAATGTGTTTTTCAATTTTTTAATTGAGGAGACTATCAAATTATCAAAGGTATCAAAGATGGGAGGAAATTGCTTTTTTATTGCCATTGTATATCATACTGCATGTTTTAAAAGACTGGTTTTTGCTTGGAGCAACCTGGTCTAGTGGCAGGTGTCCCTACCCTTGGCAGAGGGTGGGACTGGATGATCTTTAACGTCCATTACAATCCAAAGTATTCCAGGATCAATGATTCTATGAAACAGAATCATATAAAGAGGAAATATTGTCTTAACAGAGTGAGCTCAATGGGTAACTTTTTTAAGTTGATGGAAACGAGAGGTAATAAACCCAAAAAACAGGCTGCAAACTGGATGTATAAAACACCTGAAGTTCAACCAGAACATTAACTATGGAATCCAATAAATGCTGGTCATCTATATTGTTACAATGGTATCTATTATTTTTGTTAGAGATTATATCAGCAACATTATGTGTAGTAGTTTAGTCTTTAAAATTGTTGGCTAAATGTTTACTTCTTGCAAGTCATCAAAGTGTTAATGTTAACATTTGTCCATGTCCGCTTTTGTCACTGTAGATAAAAACAGAGAGAAAGGTTCATTTTACTTTTTCTACAACCAGTAACTCTATTTACCAAATGTATTACATTTCCTTTTCAAAAGCATCTGCATTAAAAAACAATTAAAAAAAAAGAATTATTTTGTAAACAAAAGGACTAATTATGCTTAGTTTTCTGCAAGTGTTGTGGGGTCTTTTTGTTTGATTTGTGAAAATCAACTGCAATGTCTGCATGATACTCCATTCATGATGATCTCTGTTGTCTGCTACAAAGCCAGACTGCAGGACCATCATGTCACTCCCTTCCAATAATTTATTATTTCTCTCCATATCACAGTATTTCAGTCTCCTTTAAATTTCCTCCCCCTTTTAATTTCTTTGGTCTTTGATGATATTTGTAGTTGCTTTCTGTGGCCCTTCAATTAAAAGGAGCCTATGATTTTTCTCCTGCTTCCCATGATAACATCTACATTTTTATTTTTATTTATTTTTTCTTTTTTTCTTTTTCATGGAGAAAGACCTCCTTACCCTGTACTCTGATTATTCTGCATCCTCCCACCAGTGTGAGAAATTGCTGCCTAAATTATGTGTATGTATTTCTGCCTGTGGAGAAAAAAAATACCTTTAGTTGGCAGCTGATCTTCCCAGTGTTTTAGGACAGTCATCAGGTCTCAATCTGACGTTGGGGAGCCAATTAACGGATCTGTGTGCGAACTCTCTGCTGGTTTCCCCAGAGTGGAGCTCGGCCGCGCTGCCCCCTTTGGCAGGGGGAGAAAAAGACCAAGCTTCCCTGATGTGTTCCGTGGCAGAAAGACCTTCAATCTTAAACTCGCGCGGTTTATATGGGTTCGGGGGGAGGGCGGGAAGGAGGGCTGTGATTGGGTCGAGGTACGGGGGGAGGGGAGTGGCTTGAGAGCCCACTGACCAATGGGAGATACGGGATGATCGTGTTCCAGTAACCGACAAGGATCTGGGGAGAGGCGGCGCAACAAAATCCACGATCGGGGGGGGGGGGGGGAGACCGCATGGTTCTGAGTGGGGGGAGCCACATGGACCAGGGGAAGTACATAACTCAGGGAAAAACCAGTACAGTAAAAACGCAAGGAGTTGTTTTTTCTGCTTTGCTTGGTCCCTGGGAGCTGCCGCTGTAATGGGTCTGTTTCTAAAGCTGTTCTTTCCAGCTCTCGTAGTTCTTTCCAGCTCTCGTAGTCCTGCCGTTCACTCACATCAGACTGCAGAAGTTATTTTAAATTGTTGGAGAGAAAAATCCTGGAGTTACTGTGGGAGCATGGTCTTCCAGAAGTCTCATACCCAACAAGAAAATGGAGTAAGAAACATGTGTTAAAGGAATATGTTTCAGCATCTTGTTGAAACAAACAACAGTACAAAAAAAACCACCAAAAAAACCCCAAAGCAAAACCCCAAACCAACCAAATCAACACACACAGAGCAAACGAACAAACAAACCAAACTACAAAAGGACTGAGGAATTTTGGAGGAATAAGAGTAAAACTTTGGGTGACTTCTGGGCACGATTTGGTGCCATTCAACTCCAGATTTTCTGAAACTTAACAAACAAATTCTGTGTTTGTAATCCAAAACAAATAGGCTAAACCACGTGATCTTTTTCTTCCAAAAACTGAAAGGAGTTTATTATTCAGAACATCATTTATACATGACAAATATAAAAATATTAACAAATACTGTGAACTAGAGAGATGCAGCAAATTTCCCTTGTACAGTTCAGCTTTGGGAGTCTGATGTGGATCAGGTACGAGTGTAGTTTTTACTCTCTCTAATGAGCATATATGTCATTGCACCTCGGTGTAAAGGGTGCATTTTTCAACCTCATAACAAAATAACAGCTTCTGTAGATCAAAATCATGGATGCTTGGGGTTGGAAGGGACCTCTGGAGATCATCCAGTCCAACCCCCTGGTTGGGGACCCCCAGGCAGGGTCCCCTGGAGCGAGTGACAGAGAGATGTCTCCAGGTGGGTCTGGAATGTCTCCAGACAGGGATACTCAACACCCTCCCCGGGCAGCTGTTCCAGGCTCTGCCACTTCCATGGAAACATGTTCTGCCTCATGTTGTGGGGGAACTTGTTGTGTTTGAGTTTATGGCCATTGTTCCTCATCCTGTGCCTGGGCATCACTGAACAGAGTCTGGCACTGTCCTTTGACATCCCTTGGGGATATTGGTGTGGATTGATGGGATCCCCTCTCAGTCTTCTCCTCTCCAGACTAACCAGCTCTCACACTCCCTGCTCATCAGAGAGATGCTCCAGACCCCTCATCATCTCTGTGGCCTCTGCTGGACCCTCTCCAGTGTCTCCTGGTCTTTCTTGAACTGTGGAGCCCAGAATTGGACACAACACTCTAGATGTGGGCTCACCTGGGCAGGCCAGAGGGGCAGGATCGCCTACCTGACCTGCTGGACATGCTTTACCTGATGAACCTCAGGATCCCATTGTCCCTCCTGGCCTCCAGGGCAGTGCCAGCTCATGGCCAATTTGTCATCCACCAGGTCTTTCTCCACAGAGCTGCTTTGTAGTAGGTCATCCTCAACCTGTGCTGGTCCTTGGGCTCATCCCTCCCCAGGTGCAGGACCTGCACTTGCCCTCGTTGAACCTCATTAGGTTTTTCTCCACCCAACTTGTCAGCCTGTCCAAGTCCCTCTGAATGACAACACAGCCTCCAGGTGGATCAGCTCCTGCCCCAGTTCTGTATCATCAGATCTGATCAGATAAACAGAATGAATAAAACAAAGGACTGGTGGGTTGGGGCACTCCTTTTATCTCCAAGGACTTTAGTTGCCAGAAACAGGAATGATATGTGAGTCAACAAATAACATTTGTTATTCAAGCACAAGTCTTCTCTGCCCAGCTGATAGAATCTGACTTTTCTTCAGGCTCAAAGGCCATTTTTTTTTTTTTTTTTTTTTTTTTTTTTTCAAACAAAATATGCTTGTGTTACTCTGAGGACTATGAAAGTGAATTTAAACCTTGTCTGTGTTGAAGAAGCGGTTTTGACACAGAAAAAATCTATGTGTAAGTGGGCCATTTTTTCGTTGTATGGATACATGTGGTTGAAATGCTGCATTTTAATCACCAACTTGTCAATGCTTAGTGATCAAGATCTTTTAAAGTATTTTTGTAAAGTGTATCTTTGGCTACTCTTATCTGCTTCTGCTTTTTTTTTTCCTCTCTCCTATTCCCACCATGAAAAGAAGGATTTTGAGAATTAATATTCTTTTTCTCCATGGCTGCAGTGCTCTAATATTGTCTATTTAATTAACAGAGCTACAGAATCTTATTGTTCAATGGACATTAGACACCATTACAGCTCTGGCCAATGAGTACACCAGATTTGTAAAAGCCAGTCTAATTTACAAAACACTAAAATATTTGACTCCTTATATTAAAAAATAAGTTGACACATAATAAAATTCCATATTATATCCATCCATAATTTATAATTGAATTTTATAGCAGGAATTAATCTTTCCTATTAGCTGACTGGAACCAAAAGAGTTGAAAGAAAACTACCTTTGAAAAAATTCTGATTCTTGAGTACATTTAAATATAAAACTTGTTTGCTCTATCTTCCTATACTTAAATATACGTTTGCTTTCTGAGTTTCTCTTTATTTCCTTTAGAGGAATTATTATTATTACTACTACTACTACTACTACTACTGCTACTACTATTATTATTATTACCACAACTATTATTATTATGGTTATTAACATTACTTATATAATACTTTATATAATAATTTATATTATTATATTATGTTATGTTATGTTGTGTTACGTTATGTTATGTTATGTTATATTATATTTATTATTAGTATCAGTATTATTAAAATACTGCAGCACCCTCCTGCTCCAAGGAGAAGTGAATTTTGAACCCCCAAAAAAGAGATGATGTTGCTGGTGCTCCAGGGCCTGTGAGAATACAAATGTCAGTCTAAGGTTGAAGGAGCTTTTAACTCAAACCACCCAATCCAACACAACTGACACCACAAACAGAGAGAGAATTGCATGTATATGTCTTATTTTTTCATTAAAAAATTTTTTATACTTATTCTTTTTCCCATTCACTTTGTTTCTCTACAGTATTTTGTGGCTTCGCCTGCAATCTTAAACTGGGAATTCTCCAGAGAAGGGCCTATTGCTGTTGCACCCGATCTTGTACAGCAGCTGCCTGGAAAATATGCTTTGACTGTCAGTAGAGATAAAATCAAGTGAAACAAAATGAAGATTTCTCAAAATGATCGTGAGAGCCAGAGTACTCACTGGAAAAGTGGAGTTCCCTGGTGGAAAGGAAACAGTCAAGATATTTAAATGATATACCAGAAACCCAGATGAAGCGGCTGCATTGCCTGAGCCAGAGCATGGGTCAGAATCTCAGCCTCTTGTGTCAGGCAAGTTTTCTGGCTGCTACACCGCTAACAACGTGAAAAGAAAAGAGGATCTCTTGTCTTCTTTAGGAAAAGGAGGGTGTCCTTTTCCATCTCATAAAAAAATGTTCCACCAGTCATGAAAAATGTTACCTTTCAGAAATTTAACTGGAACTAGCACATCTCCTTCCCTGTTAGTGTTTTTTTTAGAGATCTCTGTGTGATGAATATCAATTTCTAGCACACAATTGCCAGGTCTTAACCTTAAGACAAAAACAGCAACAAGAACAAAATCAACCAACCAAATGAAAAAAAAAAAACAACCACCAACCCAAGAACACTTAAGAATAATTTTATATGACAAAAAATTTTTGTCATACACTGAGGCAGCATGGCTCTGTCAGTTCACTGCAGTACCACAAAAAATTATTTCTAAAATCTCTCACATTGTCAAATTCCAACATGAATTACCTACAGACTGTCATGTTAGACTGCCAGGTATCAGCAGATGGAAGAAACAACGTTGGTTAGTTGTTCTTTTGATTAGTACAAAACTAATAATTGAAATCTGTCACATGTCTGTAATGTTGATTTGAAATGAATTCCACCACAAGAGATCAAGAGCCAAACCTCATAGCTCTAATAATATTCCCTTATTTTGAAATCATGAGATTTTTGGCAAAGTTTGCAGTTGAGTCCTTGAGATGCAGATGGCACAATACCATTAAATACTTTATTGTGGTGTATTGTAATGGTTCCTCCCCTGGGTTCTGAAATTCTGTGTCGATGAGTTGTTACAACTAACTGTGCTGAAAGTTAGTGCTGAAAGTAAGACAAAGTAATTCCTAAAATTCCTAAAATCATGTTTCAGATATTTTTTCTCCCTCAGAGTAAAATAAATTAGCAACAACAACAACAAAAACCAAAAAACCCCCACCTCTTCTTATTTATTGCAAAGATATGCAACAGCGCACAATCTCAGACACCCTAAGAACTCCTTAGAGCTTAAATGGTTGAAGCATATTCTTGCTAAGACAAAAATATGTTTTGTAGGTGTTTGAAATAAACTCTTTCACCAAGTTCATTCATGGTGTTCTCCTTAAAGTTCTAAGTAACAGTAGGATGCAGAGCTCAGTACAACATGTTTAACTTTGCAAAACAGCAACTTCAGCATTAAAACCAAAACAACACCTTGGTTGTTACAAATTTAATGTGGGAACTTCAGACTTGTCTCTGAAAAGCTGTATTTGGAATTTTATCAACTTTCTTCCAGCACAGCCCTTGTGCAGTTTGTAGAAATTCAGCCTGATTTGGTCAAGTCTTAGCAAAAACCAGGGAACTCTGATTTCTGAGACCGCAATACATATTGAAGAGAAGGAATTCTTGTGTCTTCTGCAAACCTGGATCACTGCACTGTGCTTCAGAGATGTGTCTGCAATGATTCGGGGTGGAAATATGTCCTGATATTGAGGCATGAGAGTCAAGGCCAGCTTTG